ACGTGCTGACTACAGAGCGAAGTGTACGAGAATTGCCGTGTCCGTGGGTGTTGTGTGTGGTGTGTGTTGAGTTGGACACTACAGCCTTGCAGGGGTGGGTGGATATCACGACCGGTACGATTCCGCTTTCTAACACCGTGTCCTGGCTGTAGTGGTTAAGAGACTTGGCTCTTGAGGCCGAGGTCGCCGGTTCGAATCTGTGCTTGCACGGAGGAGGACTTAGGTCCAGACGTACGGAATCCATACTACAGATGGGCTATGGAGAGTCGGGGTAACTTTGCTGAAGTGGGGCGTGACGATGTGCCGCGTCGTCAATTTCGAAATTCGACTTTTCGAACATGCGCGGCGCCAACTCGGCCACGGGGGCCGAGGGCGCGGCTGTGAGAATTAGCACTCCGCTGCGCTAACCTTCGGTGCTGGCGACCTCTCCATGTGGTCTCTACTACTGAGCATGGCAGAGACAGAAATCCCTTAACCCCCTAGTTTCTACTCTTTCCCAAAAAAAAAAAAAATCCATAAAAGCATTTCTTTCAAATTCTTTGTCTCCTGCAATTTCTACGGGACCCTCATCCTGAGGCTCAGAGAGTCCACTATACTTCTAGTCTCGAGAAGAATCATGTATGGCTGGCTGACAGAACCTGACCACCAGCCAAAATGTAGGCTCAGTCCTTCAATTACGGCCACCTTGCCTCCCCCCAAAACTCCGTTTTCAAATGCCACCCGCATCTCTTTCCCCTCTCCGGGTTATCTTTTTGTCCGCTCCTGTTACGTGTACCCTTTTCCATCGTGCCCTGTATTCTATCTCAAGCATACTTGCAACCCCACCGTGCACCGTACCGTCCCGGTGCGCCGCACGGCATGTTTCGCGGCACCTGCTCGTGCACCGTACCAGCGGCAGTTTCCCTTTTTTTTGTTGTTGTTGTTTTTGTAGATACAGAAGAGTGCAACACCTAAGGAACTGATCTTTTTCAAGTACAGTCGTACAGATTTGTCTTTCCGTCCAATTGGGCATGAGAAATAGCCTCAAAAAGGTGTCTGGGACATCAGTCTTGACCTT